AAAAAAAAAAAAAAAAAAAAAAAATGAAATGTCAGAGATATCAACTGTCAAACTTAAGGAAATTGGACATTTCATACTTAATATTCCAATATATTTATGAAAGCTGGAACTCAAAAATCTGAACAAAATGACTAGAAAAGTAAATTCAAGTAAAATTCTAGCAGACTGTAAGATACTCTTCACCTTCAATTCCTAACTTAGTACCTGGCAAACAGATGGCATAAAATAAAAATGTTTGTGAACTAGACCTGTTGCTGATTACTGGTTCAACTGACCAAGGAAAAAAACCTGTTCATGAACTCGCACTTACTGGCTTCCAGGATGAAGTGCACGCAGTGGATGAGGGAACAGGCATGGGTCACGAACTCTGTGGAGGAGACCACACTCCAGAGGCTGGGCAGCTGCAGGGCCAGGCAACAGCAGTCCAGCCCTGCCTGGAGGTCCAGACTCAGTGGGATCTGCTCGTGGATCAAATGCCACGACAGGGCCTAAAAAGGAAGTACTGTGTTCAAGAATGCCTCTACATGTACCTTCTGTCTTGGGACCTTCAAGGAAGCAGTGCAATCTACAGCTATGGTGGAATTGCCCAAAACACTGAAAGGCCCTTCCAGAAGGACAGCTCTAACCTAGCTGTCCCCAGCTGCCATCCCAGGCTCCCTTACATTAAATCCTGATCCATCAACCCCCCAAAGTTCTAGCTCCCCTCTCTGCCAGAACACCCCTCCCTACTCTGGCCATCTCTCTCCTTTAGCACCACGGGCTCTTCTAGAAATCTTGCCTGGGCGACTTTGCCACCAGGCCAGAGGCTCTTCCGTGGGGCTCCCACAGCACCAACGCTTGCTGCTGTCACAACCACACAGGCTGAATTTGAGAGCATGAGTTCTGGGGATAGCAGGATTTAGGTTCCAATGCCAGACTGGCTACCTCCCAGCTGAGTGAACCCAGACAAATCACTGAACCTCTCCTAAGCCTTGCCACCCTCATCTGTAAAATGAGAATGGCACAGCCCATCTCATAGGATGGTTGTGAGAACCAAGTAAGAAGATGCATGTGAAGTACTCCATCCTGCACACAGCAGGCGCACAGTGCAACTGGCACCCCGTGCTGTAATCATACATTTGTTTTCCCATCTTCCGCACACGCTGAAACAAAATTAGGACAGGATGACAAACCGTCTGACTTCACCTGGTTCAGAGTATGTGCTTATTCATCACTTCGCAGACGAATGCGCAACCCCCTTTGCAGCCCTCCCTTTCTTTGGTGCGAGTGGCACACAGGGCCTTGCTGGGTCAGCTGTGGTGTCCCTGCTGAGGACTGGCAGTGCAGCTCTGGCTCTTTAAGGATTCAGGCCAGACTCACGGAATGGCAATGCATCCACAGTGTGTACACATTTTGGGGGCTAATTATAAGCACTAACACAAGTGTTCAATTCTCCCATGGCTGAAATGTCCAGGTCAATTTAAAACATAACACACTTTCCAGGTGATTACTTTTCAAGTCTCTAAAATTAGGATCCACATGACATGTGTAGGTAGGGATAAGAAAGGGCGCCTTGTTGGTCCCTCAAGGTCACTGTGAGCAGCTGGTGAGGCGAGGGTGTGAGCGCACCCATAAATGGCACCTTGACAATAAGGACAATGACAAGTACTTACTGTCAGGATGAGATGAAAGAGTGAACGTGACTGGTCAGAGCTCTTGGTTTTCAAATAAAACTACTTTACTCTTTCTAGAGCTAGTCACGTGTCCCCTCCCCACAGACACTCCGAGCTCCTGAGCTGCCTCTTACCTCGAGGGTCATCACCACAAACTTCACCGTGTCCCTTTCCTTCTCAGTAGGAAGGTGCAAGTGACTGGGCAGCTTGGAGACCACCATTAGGTACTGTGCCAGGGCCCGGGCCAGAGTGGTCAGGGACTGATACCACGTGGCATCCCCTGAAACAGAAGGTCTTCATGGGCGGGTGCAACTGTGAACATAGGCCTTTACCTCTAAAAGGCAGTCAAGCAACTCTTGAGAATCTGACGAAAGCTTAAGACATTGTTCCTCAGTAGGGCACATCTGCACAACCCCCTACATGATGCATATGATTCTGGGACCCGCATTTCCCCTGAGGTCTATCTTGTCCTTCTGTAAGGGCTCAGAACCCCGACTAGGTCAATGACCATGTCAGTGAATAGTGGCAAACACACAAAAAGAAATTCAGAGCTAAGACGCCCCAGCACTATTTCTTGGTTACCTTTGTAAATGTCTTCAACCTATTTATTGATGGGGTTTATTGTATATTTGCTTGGTACAAAGTGCTGTACTGACCCTGCAACATTTCTTAAAAATGAGAGAAGGTTTTGTTTTAATTACCAAATAGATCACTCAGCTTGCTCCAGTAGGCCGTGGGCTCTGAAGGCAGGCAGGGCTGGAAGACATGGTGGACAGCAGGGAGCTGCTGAACAAGGCTGGCCACACGACCCAGAGTCACCTCACAGGCTGCTTCCAAAAGTGGACTCTTCTGGCCACCAGAAATCTCACTCATGCCTAGACTTAAGCATGGAGCTATTAGGCTTAGGTTGAATTCCTGAAATCAGAGGATTGAAGGAAGAAAAACAATAGAAGAAAGGATCATGCAAAAATTTATGAGATAATACAGATTATCATGAAGAATATTTTTAAAAAATACTCTATTCTATATCTGTTACCAATATTTAAACAATTCCATTTAACATATGCTCAGAAAAATACATTTCCTGGTCTCTTTTGGTACTTTAATTTTAAAGTAATATTTTCTTATGTTCTTGGATTCGTTTGAAATAAAAATTTTAGTAC